CCTGATGTGGGGCTCGATCCCAGGACCCTGGGATCATGACCTGAGCCGAAGGCAGACGCTTAATGACTGAGCCACCCAGGCACCCCTCACTGAGTTGTTTTATTTTATTTTATTTTTTAAAGATTTTTATTTATTTGAGAGAGAGAGAAAGAGAGAGAGCATGAGAGGGGGTAGGGTCAGAGGGAGAAGCAGACTCCTTGCTCATCAGGGAGCCCGATGTGGGACTCGATCCCGGGACTCCATGATCATGACCTGAGCTGAAGGCAGTCGCTTAACCAACTGAGCCACCCAAGCACCCCTCACTGAGTTCTTTTAAAACAAAATCTCAGGTTTCACATCATTTTGCAGGGTGTTTTAAAGTTATAAATGTCCAATGTGACTGATGGATTAGCTTCAGGGGCTGAGAGAAAAAAAAAAAGAGGAGTTATGGATGAATGATGAGTGAATTTACTGAGATGGAGAACTTCAGGGGAGGGCACTTTTAGGAAATAGGAGAGAATCAGAGAGATCATTCTAGACATACCAAGTCTTAGGTAGGCATCATTATAAGGCGGGACCTTCAGAAATAAGTTTGGACCAAAGGAAAAGAAAAAAGTTTGGACGTATTAGGTCTTATAAAGTGATACTTGCTGACTAGTGGGACCTTCAGAAATTTGGGATTTGTTTCGACATATGATAGCTGAGAACAGTCCAGTGGTTATATAATGCAAGCCATAAATGTGAGCCACATACAGAATTTAAGATTTTCTTGTACCGGCATCAAAAAAAGTACAAAGAAGCAAGTGAAAATTAATTTTAGTAATTCATTTTGTTTAACCCTGTATGCCCTAAATATTATCACTTCAACATGTAGTCAAAATTAAAATTACTGAGGGGCGCCTGGCCGGCTCAGTCGGTAGAGCATGTGACTCTTGATCTTGGAGTCATGAGTTCAAGCCCCACGTTGGGGGTAGAGTTTACTTTTAAAAAAATTTTTAAATATTTTTTAAAAATAAAAGTATCGAGATATTTTACCGTCCTCAAAATATGGTGTGTACTTTACATTTCCACACTAGTTCACACTAGCCACATTTCAAGTGCTGCGTTGCTTACCCATGTCTCGTGGCTACCTACCATTTGGATAGCACAGACGTAGAATGTTCAGATCACTGACTAGTGGAGCCTTCAGACGTATGGCTTTAAAAAAAATTAGGAAAAAAAAATGGACCTTGAAATCTGAGGCTAGAATCATCAAAGTGTGACATTCTAGCACCTTGGAAAAAGTTGGAATCACTGAGTCAGTGAAGAAACTTGGGCCCTCAGAACCTGGTCTGAGAAGGTGGGTGTCATGTCCCAAGATGCTCAGGAATTGGGGCTCCTCGGGAGTTGCATCTGTCAGGGCGGCTACCTGAGACTCAGATTCCCACCCCTGGCCACCACCGTAGGGACGTGTCGTCAGTAGAGGTGCTCATGAACTACCACCAGGGCCTGAAGACGGAGCTGGAGGCCCGGGTGCCCGAGCTGACAGCCTGCCAGGAGCTGGGGCGCTCTCTGCTGCTCAACAAGAGTGCCATGGCTGATGAGGTGGGAAGGGGCACCGCCGGGGGTCCCCCTCTGCCCTCCGTCCCCATTGCGGTGGGAGCCGTCCTTGACGCCTTTCCTACCCTGTGCGCCACTCCCAGATCCAGGCACAGCTGGACAGGCTGGGAACCAGGAAGGAAGAGGTGTCAGACAAGTGGGACCGCCATTGGGAATGGCTGCAGCAGAGTGAGTGGGGGCCCAGACACACGGGGCTCAAGGGCACAGGGACGCGCTCCCGCGGGTTTAGAAAGGCCCGGAGGGTGACGCAGCATGTAGGTGCCCTGCACCAAACATGAAGGCCTGGGAGGGTGGACAGGAGGACTGCCTTGCCTTTGAATCCTGGTGGCAGACACCTAGGGGAGAAGCCGGGGCCCTCAGAGATACGCTCAGCCCCCCTCAGAGTGGTCAGGGCTGGGAGACAGGAAGCCGGAGGGCGTGGAGGGCCAGAGAAAACAGCCAGCGCCCTGTGAGGGGCCCGCAGGTGCCGCCCCCATCACTCTTACCCCCAGTGTCTCCCCTCAGTGCTGGAAGTGCACCAGTTTGCCCAGGAGGCCGTGGTGGCCGATGCCTGGCTGACCGCCCAAGAGCCGGTCCTGCAGAGCCGGGAGCTGGGCAGCAGCGTGGACGAGGTGGAGCAGCTTATCCGGAGACACGAGGCATTCCGCAAAGCGGCTGCCGCCTGGGAAGAAAGGTTCAGCTCCCTGCGGCGCCTGACCACGGTCAGCACCCCAGACCCTGCCCCAGCCACCCCCACGCCCAGCCCTCTGTGTGAGACACAGACTCAGCACTGTGTTGAGACTGATCCTTACTGGGCTCCCAGTCCAGTGGGGGAAAAGGGAACAGCCCTGTCACCAGACAGTGACAGCCCAGGGCTAGGATGAGGGAAACACAAGGGGCTGTGGGGGAGCCCAGAAGCGCTTGTCCTGGCTTAGGGGGCTCTGATCTGAGACTTGAAGAATGAGGAGAGAGGTCCTGGGTTGGGGGGACATTCAGGAAGGAGGCAATGGGGGTCAGAAAGGCACCTAGAGAAAGTGATGATTTAGCCTATTCTTAAAAGAACACTAAATGCCAAGGAAAATAGGAATTAAGTTTCCAGCAGGGAAAAGCGTGGGCTCAGGCCTGCACAACCTTGCTTTTTCAATAATAGAAACTACTAAACTGAGCGGGGGAGGCAGACGACCCAGAGGCGTCTTCCCAGACCCCCCCCACACACACACACGCCCCTCTACCTGACCCTGGCCCCTCCGTTCCCAGATAGAGAAACTCAAGGCGGAACAGAGCAAGCAGCCCCCCACCCCCCTGCTGGGGCGCAAGTTCTTTGGAGACCCCACGGAACTGGCGGCCAAGGCAGCGCCCCTCCTGCGGCCAGGGGGCTATGAGAGGGGTTTGGAGCCCCTGGCTCGCCGGGCCTCGGACACACTGTCGGCGGAGGTGCGGACCCGGGTGGGGTACGTGCGCCAGGAGCTCAAGCCCGAGCGCCTCCAGCCGCGCATCGACCGGCTGCCGGAGATCCCGGGGAGGGTGGAGCCCCCGGCCCCGCCGGCCGCACCAGAGGATGCGGCGGAGACTCCCGGGGCCCTCGCGGCAGCGGAGCAAGTCCGGCCGCGGCCGGAGCGCCAGGAGTCAGCTGACCGCACGGAGGAGCTGCCCAGGAGGCGGCGACCGGAGCGGCAGGAATCGGCCGATCAATCCGAGGAGGCTGCGCGGAGGCGGCGGGCAGAGCGGCAGGAGTCTGCGGAGCACGAGGCGGCACATAGCCTCACCCTGGGCCGCTACGAGCAGATGGAGCGGCGGCGCGAGCGGCGGGAGCGGCGGTTGGAGAGGCAGGAGTCCAGCGAACAGGAGACGCCGACCAGAGGAGAGCTGGCCAAGGGGTGAGGCCCCCGTGTGCCCGGGGAGTGAGGGAAAGGGGACGCAAAGAGTTCCTGGAGCCACGCAGGCCCAGTGGGGAGGGCGTCCAGGGCTCAGAACTGCTTAAGATACTGTCCTGGTACCCGTTTTGCAGGGGGGTAAGCTGGGGCTGGAAAAGGTTAGGAGAGGTACCTCTTGTCCCACAGCTAGGTGGCCTGGGCAGGAATTTTGTCCCCTCTGTCCCGCAGTTTCTCTACTGGGCTAGTGGTGGAACCATCTTCTCCCTGATCAGATGTAAGACCCTTTATCGCAGTCTCAACCTTATAAACCCAGGAGGCTTTTGTCATCTCCATTTTGTGGATGGGGACCCTAAGGCTCAGAAAGGGCAAATTACTCAGTTTGGATGAAGCAGGACTGGAACCCAGGCCTTGCAGACCTCAGTGTTAACCAGAGTGTGAGGAGCAGATTGATCCAATCAGCTGCATCCCCAGAAAGAGGCCTTGGTTCAAATAGGTTTGGAGACAATGACTTCTTGACTCCTTTTTAATTTTGTATATCATGAACAGTTGCTGAGTCCCCATTCATGTGTGGTTTGTGCTAGGGACAGCAGTGACCAAACCAGCCTCAGCCCTGCTTTCATGGAGATCACAGTCCAGCGGGGGAAACAGACTTGTCACTTGATAGTGATGACCCAGAATGATCGGGGCCGGGATAGGGCAAGTCCAGGGGGTTTGGGAGCTCAGGGGGTGGGTGGAAAAAGGCAGTATAATGTTCAAAGGCTGGAAGGCACCAGTCTGCATTTTTCTCCGGTTAAAACTCAAAGGAAAGGTTCTGTCCTCCATTCAGCAGACATGTCATGCCCCAAGTACCTATGGTGTGTAAGGCATGCATCTCAGAAAGGCAACTGCAGAAGTGGACAGGGACCTGACATCTCAGGCTAAGAGGTGGAGGCTCCTCCAGCCAACCAGGCTGGTCCCTGGGAGAGGGCACCCCAGTTCCATTGGGTCTTTCGGCCTCCCCCTCCCAGGAAGGCCACCCTGGCTGACATTGTGGAGCAGCTGCAGGAGAAAGAAGCAGGCCCAGGGCTCCCTGTTGGGGTAAGTTGAGCCTCAGAATGGGTGGGGGTATGGGGAACCCTCTCCTCAGGAGCAGGAACCAGGACCCAGAAACACCAATGCCTAGCCCTGCTTGCCCCGGGTCTGAACCCTGTAGAGATTCTCAGGGGATGCTGGAGAGGTCCCCCAGATGCCTCCCACAATCTGAAAATTTCTCCTTTAGAAAGATAAGGCCACCAGCCCAAGGAGACTCCTACCCCCTCTACACACAGACTCCACACTCTTCCCACATCTGTCCTGGGGTCTCAGATATCCTCACAGACAGACACACACACACACACACACACACAGAAGTCCCAGATTCCTCCTACAACAGCTCGGACACCAACCTGCCTGCACCCCCACCTCCATAGAGCTAGCGCTTTCCTCCCCAAGATCGAGAGCGATTCCAAACCTAGGAATCCTGACAGTCTCACTCCCAACACCGATGGGGCCCCTAAAAGTTAAGCCTCCAGCCCTGAGGTCCTCCCATACTCGCCTCCAAGACAGATGGGACCCCCAGACCCGTGAGTCCCCCCAGACAGATGGCCCCAACAGCCCCCCTATGGACAGCACCCCTCTCCCCCCCTCCCTTCACACAGCCGTCGCTGCCTCAGCCTCGCGAGCTTCCCCCAGGCCGCCTGCCCAACGGGCTTGAGCCGCCCGAGCGGACACCTCGGCCGGACCGGCCGCGGGCGCGGGACCGGCCCAAGCCGCGACGGCGGCCGCGGCCCAGAGAGGGTGGTGAGGGCGGGGGAAGCCGGCGCTCGCGCTCCGCCCCGGCCCAGGGCGGCTCCGCCCCCGCGCCTCCGCCACCGCCCACTCACACAGTGCAGCACGAGGGCTTCCTGCTGCGCAAGCGCGAGCTCGACGCTAACCGCAAGTCGTCCAACCGGTGAGCGTGTGGGCGGGGTTTTGGAAGGCGGGTCCCAAGCTCAGAGTATCCAATAAGTGAATAGCTGGGGCCTGAGGGGGGGGTGGTACTAAATTTCAGGGAATCCAACGGGTGGCGGGAGTAGGCGGGGCCTGAAGAGGGGCGGGGTTTAACGTCAAAGACTCAAATCTGTAAACTGGAGGAGCGGGACCTAAACTTAGTGTGTCCAATGGGCGAGGGGGTGGCGCTTAGGTGGGAGCCGGATCGGAAGAAAATGTTCCGAGTGCAAATAAGTTGCAAATCCAAACTCATAGCAATCAGTTCAGGAGTTAACTAGAGCTAAGAGCCAGTTGGACATGGGGTCCGGTCTACAGGGTTCCAGTGGCTTGTGAGGTGGAGCGTGGAGAGGTCATCCAACCAATGAATGGGGTGGGTCCTCCGAGTTTCAAATTGTTGCTGGGGTGGGCGGGAGAGGTCCGAAAAAGGGCAGAGCCCGAGCCCGAGGTCTGAGGTGGGGGGCACATATAGGGGTCCAAAGAGTGATGTGTTTACTCTTGGAGTGATGCTCATGGTTGTCCAATTGCTCCAATTGGGAGGCAGAATCTGGGGAGAGGTGGAGCCAAAAAGGGAAGCGTTGGCCAATGAGCAGAGCGAGGCCTAGACCCAAGATATTATGTGAAATGGGCAAGACAGGTTGAGATTTTGCCTTGAGGCAGTCTTTCTTCCTTGCGGTGAGGCCAAGGTGGTAATAAAGGGGCACCTAGGGTGTATTTCACTCTTGAGAGACTTCCTCCTCCACTGAGGCTTTGGCTGAATGGGGAGATAGGAAGACACTGGACCAACAGATCTCCTTTCAGGGGATTCCATGGTGGGTGGAGGAGGGGCAAGGAACATGCCCAAGCAAAGGCTTATGTAGAAGACCGCTTAAGTCTTGCCTTCAGGAAATTGAGCAAGGGGTGGGGGGATATGGAAGGGCAACCCCAGCAGGCTTGGAACCGAGAGTCTTAGATTCTCCCCTCAGCTCAGGAACAGCCATTAAGGAAGAGCACCCCAGACATAGGGCCCAACTAGGACAAAGGCCCAGAGGAAGGAAGGGTCAGGCCTCTTCAGCCATGAAGGGTGTTAATGAAGAGTTCCCAGGCAGAGTGCTGTGACTCTGCCTTGAGCCCCATATCGTCGCCCCAGGTCGTGGGTGAGCCTGTACTGCGTGCTCAGCAAGGGGGAGCTGGGCTTCTACAAGGACGCCAAGGGCCCGGCGTCTGGGGGCACACACGGCGGGGAGCCACTGCTCAGCCTGCACAAGGCCACCAGCGAGGTGGCTAGTGACTACAAGAAAAAGAAGCACGTCTTCAAGCTCCAGTGAGCCCCCCAATGGGCAAGAGGGAGGGATCCTAGGCCCAACTTCCCCCTCCCAGCAATACCCTGCTCCCCTGGAGGCTTGTTGGTGGACGGGTGGGCCGGGCCCCTGCCCCAGATTCCCCAAGTCCTGTGTCCCCTCCTACAGGACCCAGGATGGCAGCGAGTTTTTGCTCCAGGCTAAAGATGAGGTGAGATCTGGTCCTTTCTCTCCCCTGTCCGGACCTCAAGAATTACCTGGCTAGCTGGTTCCTGGCCCAGAGCGGTGGAGCTGTGAGCCAGAAACACAAGCCAGAGTCACCAGGCTGTGATGGGAAAGCCCACTGGCGTGAGATCACAGAGGAAGTTCCTAACTTATGGGGGGGAGGGGAGGAAGGGCAGGGATCAGGAGGGCTGCCTGGAGGCCCCCGGACAACGTCCAACCTCCTTGCCTTGGCCTCTGAGATGACACTGGAAAGATAAGAGGTGGGAGTTAGCTAAAAAGGGATGATAGAGGCAGAGAGAACTGCCAAGTGCAGAGAACCAGAGGTGTGGAAACGCAAAACATTAACTGTGCTGGTGGAGGGTTCAAGGAGGAAGGATCCCAGAAAGGTTCCCAGGGGCTGGATCTCAGAGCACTGTGGGCCATTTGGAGGAGGTTGGAGTTTGTCCTGAAGGCATTGGGGAGCCATGGCAGACTTTTGAGCAAGATTGGGGGTGCTGGAGATTACAGCGATGTATAAGAAAGATCCTTTGGCAACAATGTGCAGGGTAGACTGGGGGGATGGAGAGGGGAGGTGTGGAGCCCAGGAGGCAACCAGGACAGGGACCCACGTGGGAAAGTACAAGGCTGGACCCCAGCTGGCCTGTGGGAGGAGAGGGAGTGGCTGAGGGTGAACCTTGGACTGGGGCTAAGGGGAGGGGTCGGGGAGGAGAAGCAGGCGTGGTGGTGGTTTAAAGAGATGTTGAAAATAATGCTTGTTATCTCATTCATCCTTACAAGAGGCTCTGGAGTAGGCCTGTATTCTCTCCATGTCTTCTTATTTTCAAAATGGGGATAAAAATAGTTTTCCATTCTAGAGTTCTTGTGAGAAGTAAGTAAGTTGATACATACAGAGCCACTTCCGTGGCCTGGTGAATGTCAGTGCTCTATAAACGTCTGCTAATGTTACTGGTTTTTTGTTGTTGTTTATCTCTATAGTGGGAATTTGATATAATCCTGTTGCATAGGATTAAGTGAACTAACCCGAAGCACTTAGAACAGAGCTTGGAACATACTAAGGGCTATATAACTGTTTGCATTATTATTATTAACCCATTTAAGATCGGGAAGCTGAACTTCAGAGGGCAGTCCAATTGCAGGCTCATCTCTTACACAGCCTCTCTTCTTCCAAATCCGGACTCTGTGCCCTGTTTCTCTCTCTAGGAGGAGATGAACGGCTGGCTGGAGGCTGTGGCCGCTTCCGTGGGAGAACACGCGGAGATCGCCCGCTGGGGACAGACACTACCCACCACGTCCTCTACAGACGAGGGCAACCCCAAGCGAGAGGCGGGGGAGCGCAGGGCCAGCGGGCGCCGGAAGTGACTTCCCAGCCCCTGGGCCTGACACACATCCCCGCCCCTTCTCTCCGCACTGTGGGCACAAAGACACTTTCTCTTCCGCAGGGGCAGGAGCCCCTGGTTCCACCGCCACTGCGGACGCGCCAAGATGGGCACTGGAAAGGAGGGGACTTCTGCACTCCAGGAAGTGGTGGGGGGATTGCTGCCCCTATAGCCATATCTCGGCCCCTTCCTGCTCGCCACCCCACCCCAGGTGCTGGGGCTCCATTATTTTTATGCAATAACTGAGTTGGGGGGGGCGGGTAAAGGGGCCAGCTGAGCCAAGCCCCCTGCCCGGATCTCCAGATCTTGCCCCAAGAAGCTGGGGTGGTAAGGGGCGATAATTCCTGCCCCCACTCTCCGCCCTAGGGATGGGCACGGGGCCGCTGGTGAGGTCCCCTGGACCATCCAGGGTGCTAGGGGGTGGGGAGGGGACGCCTCCTCCCCGCCTTTACCTCACTTCCAATGCTGCCTTGATCTCTGTCTGGGAAGGTGGAATGAGGGGGCCTTGGCCCCTACACTCCGCCGTCTCAGAGCCATGCGGTTAATTCCTGAGTTTATTTTTGCAAAACGTCGACCTCCTCCTCCCCCGCCCCGCATCCGCGAAGGCTTTTAATGGGAGGGGCGTCAAAGCTCAAAACTGCCTTCCTCTCTCCTCCCCCCTCCAGCTGTAAATGCCACTTTGTGAGGGGAGGGGCGAGGGGAAGCCCTCCCCCCCTGCATGCTTCTGGCAGGAGCACCTCCCTAGGGAGTGGGGGAACCGGGTTGTGGGCAGCCCCCATGGCCGCCTGGAGGAGCCGCTGGGGCCCGGGGATGTGGGGCGGTGTGGCAGGCGCACACTGTATGTACCTATAATAAATCCTTTGGCTTTGACGGTCTATGCCTGTTTTTTCGCGTTTCATGGGCTGCGCCTGGGAGGATGTGTGGGGCGGGGTGGAGGGGGCGGCGCAGGGAAAGACTGTGGCTGCAGAGAACATTTAGATGTCCTCTCGGTGTGTACTAATTTCGGGATCTAAACACATGTCCCCGATGAAACACCTAGATTCTATTCTTAAAATGGGAACCAGGAGGATAGAGGAGTTTCGCTAGCCCTTGTATCTAAACTTCCCCAAAGGGGCCTTGCAGTACGCCCCGTCCAGCACAGGAAAGGCGGGTCCCTTTAAGGAGGCGGAGAGTTTAACTGCGACGGGTGAGCTCTTTGTCCAATCGCTGGCGGCTCCGGGAGTCTCCAGGCCAATGAGCAGGCGGCGGGGGCGGGGCCTGAGTACAGACCCGGAAGCGGGTGCTGGCCGGCCGGCTCGCCCGGGGGCCATGGCAGCCGCGGCTCCTGCTGCCGATGGGGTCCCAGGTCCGGGGCCTCCCGGGGAGGTGATTCATCTGAACGTGGGAGGCAAGAGGTGAGTGTAGGAAATTCCTGAGGCACCACCTCGGGGGCGGGGAGCGGAATGGGAGTACCCGCCTCTCCCGGGGGGAATCCTTGTCCATCAAGGATTGCTCCGCCTCCTGTTGAAGGCGCGAGTGCCTGGAGTGACGCCGTGGCTAGGGAGCCGCATTCCTTACCCTTCCTCCAACCCCTCGCGTCTGCTCACTTTCCCCGCTTAGATTCAGTACCTCTCGCCAGACCCTCACCTGGATCCCAGACTCATTCTTCTCCAGGTGATCGGGAGAGCGAGTTTGGGGCGGGCTGTGCGGGGGGTGGGGGGGCGGTTCGGGAAGAGACGATGGGGAGCCCTAATCCCCCCACTTACCCTCCCCACCCCACCGCCCGCACACACACACCCTGGCCCGTGACACCTGCTCTGTGTCCCCTCCCTGCAGTCTTCTGAGCGGACGCATCTCGACACTGAAAGATGAGACCGGAGCCGTGAGTAGGGCATAGAGCTGAAATGGGGCAGCGGGGTAGGAGGAGGGACAGGATACCGCTCAGCCCCGCTCTTTGCCCCATCCATCCTCTGCCCTCCTTCCCGCAGATCTTCATCGACAGGGACCCCACCGTCTTCGCCCCCATCCTCAACTTCCTGCGCACCAAAGAGTTGGACCCCAGGTTTGCATGGGGATAAAGGGACCCCACCGTCTTCACCTTCTTCCCCTCAGAATGTTCACTTAAGCTCCTCGATCCTATTTAAATTGTGTCCTTAGAGTTTACCCCAAACACACACACACAAACACACCCACCCACCCATTTTCATTGCCCATATATATCATTGCTGCTTAGAATCTTTATCCAGTCAAAACTTGCTACTGCTTGGGATTCTCTGTGCAGTTTTGAAAACTTCCCCCTCAGAATTCTCCACCCATCCCCACTCCCCAGACTCTGACCCTTAGTCAATTCTGCTACCCAGGGGTGTCCATGGTTCCAGCCTCCTCCATGAAGCCCAGTTCTATGGGCTCACTCCTTTGGGTAAGTGGGGGCCCCATTAGCATCCTCGTTGCATAGAAAACGACTTCCAGCTTTCCTGATGCTCCCTCTCCCCCTCTCCTGAAAGAAGTTTGGGTTAGAACTGAGAGCACTGGAATTGGTCCTGGGTCTCAGGGGGAGTGGTGGAGAATGAGCTAGGGGAGGCGGATAGGATCTGCCTCAGTACTCTCCCAAGTCCCAGCTTTCGAGTTATTCCGCCTCAGTTCGACGCCTGCAGCTGCGGGAGGAGTTGGACCGATCTTCTTGCGGAAATGTTCTCTTCAACGGTTACCTGCCTCCGCCAGGTGGGCACAACTAAGGGTTGGAGGGGAGGGAGGGTGGACTGAAGACTACATTTCCCATAAGGTTGCAGCTGTGAGCCCTGAGACACTATGGGAGTTGTCCTATATCAGAGGCCGGCTTGATGGAAAGGAAGTAGGAAACAGCGTTTCCAATGAGGCAATGGGCCAGCTAGCCTCACTGAGGCTCAGAAGTATGCCCTAGAGCCTGAAGGGGGTTTCAGTCCAGGTTTGATTTCCCTGTGGGGAAACTTAGGAAGAACCAGGGTCCTTTGCATGGAGGGGAGAAATATTAAAGGGGAGATAATCTCCATGGGACCTTGGATCAGCCACCCCACTGGCCATGGAAAATATGCCCCAGTGGTTATCGGGAACTGTAGTCCACTAGGCTTTGCTGATGGGTGGAAGGAACAAAATGGGGAAGTTCAGTTTATGACTATTTCCCTAATCTCAGTACCTTCATGAAGTTTGCCAAATATGAAGATCTCTGCTTTTGTTTTCTTAACTTAGTTTTACCGTGTGGTTTTTAAAAAGTCATTTTTTTAAGGTTTATTTATTTATTTAAGTAATCTTTACACCCCACATGGGGCTCAGACTCACAACCCCGAGATCAAGAGTCACACGCTCTTCCGACTGAGCCAACCAGGCGCCCAGCACAAAAGTCATTTTGAACAGAAGCTTTATATCACTACCTTTATACCATAAATAAGTAAACGTGAAAATAAAACCCCCCAAATACCAATGTTGTGATGCTTCTGCCTGCCAAGG